TTATTCAGAAAAATCTTAAAAGTTAACTGAAATTTTGTGACGTAGTCTCGTATCCTACATTTCTACTGTCATGAATCTGGATCAGTTTCTAAGAGAACCAAGGCGCCGTGTTTAATTCCATAAAGAAGTTCGTGATTCTAATCTTAAAGGGATTCCGATATAATTATGCGTATTCACATATTGCATTGGATTTGAACATAGTTAGACAATAAGTAGGAACTTTTTTAGTTTCCGAATTTTTTGTTCTACTTACAAATTCTGTAAGATTTAACAAATGTACACTACAAAGCTATATACAGAAGAAGCTGACAACAGTGTCAAGGGAATAAATACATATCCGTTATTCACACAGCTAGTTCATACCAAAGAATCCTGTTTCAAGTCCTCGAATGAAAACACGCAAAAATATAGCTAAACACAGTAAATCCTTATATTAGATCATTTTACGTATTTATGTGTAAATAATGCTACAGAATTTAAAATTTATTCAGCTGAGATGTCCCTCACCAGCAGTTGAATTTAAAGTCTCTCGCATGAATGCCTCTCCAAGAGACACTCATTAGTTATATTCATCTCATTACTATATCACTAATTCACTCGTTCCCTCGGTGTTCTGTGAACAAGCAACTCCAATTCCTTACAGCGAAACAAGCATTCCTTTCTTTTAGCTTATGCTCCTTCATTGTCAATATCAATAAGTTTCACCAGGTTCTTCTTCTAGTAGCAGTCGAATTATCAACAATCTCCATCACTGGTCAGGCAATTGCCGCCTTACAAAAAAGATGAAGGCTTAGGCATCTTTAAACATTCATTTGTGTCTCATCCCTGTGACTATCTCTAAAGAAAAATCCAAAAGTCGACACATCTCCTTGTGTGATGCTATCACCATTACCATATTTCTATACTTACATTTCAGTATAGACTGGTGCGTAAGTTTTATTATTATTTCGAAGTAAAGAATATGAACAAAAAAATGGAAGGAATTGATTATAACATGGTTTTTTTTTTTATTTTTTTAGTGCAAAGTTATCCTATAAAGCCTCTGGGTCAGTTGAATGGTCTGGCCATTTAATTGGATTGCTGATATTATAGGAAGTAACCTGGCCAACCCAAAATCTCCCACAATGAGCAGTCATATCACATCAAGAAGAACATTGCTTGGCTTCAAATCACACATGAACAATTGCGTGTTCACAGAATGATGAAGATCTCCAGATGCAGTAACAAACGTTACTGCTAGGTTAAAGCCTTTGAGCGAGGTGTAATTTTCTCTCCGTATCTTACGTGGATGCAACTGGTTCGTTTTTGTAATGCGTGATTCCCAAAGAAAGAGAGAGAGAACTCTAACAATGGGACACTTTGTACATTAGACAAAATCGATATACAACTTCAACTAGTGTTCAACAACCACGTCAAGAACTTTCACTTAATCTCAGCTAACACCACTTCTAACAATAAACAACTTCATTACAAAAGCTGAGCTATTAATAACAAATTAACACTAAAATATACAGAAGACTTAAGCTATGAAAACAAGCACTCCATGCACAGCTAGCAGAGCAGAACACTTACAAGGTGCTAAGCAATCTACTTCCAGCACAGCACAATCCTCAACAATCCACCTTGGTGCTTTGGCTGGAACACCAAGTTTTAGCCAAAGGCTTCAAACTTGGATTGCAAATGCCTTTGTCATTATCATGCAATCTGATCTTCCTCGTGCAGTGCACTAAGGTTACTTCCCACATCTGTTCAGCTTCCCTAACAGCATGATATCTTGATTTATATGCTTAGTTCTGCCGTGAGTACAGGATCTCGCCATTGCACAACTGACTGGTAACAATAACATAGGATCTTTGCACTTGTGTAAGTCATCCAACATTCCTCAGCCACAAAGCTTAGTTCACGCTGTACAGCAGAGACATATTCAGCTTCAGAGTGACTGGCCAATCTCTGCTCCTTGAACCAATAGATGCCACCCATTCAGATAACCACTAAACCAGGGTTCTTGCACTCATCCAGGGATCCACACCTCACTTCAGTGTACCCACAACAATTTCAGACTTTCGGCTTCTAAACAGATGCCTAACATGATGGTTCCCTTCTACATATTCACACATTGCAGCTGGGCAATTCACTTGGGTTGCTCATAAACCTTGAGAGATACTTGCGTGAACATAAGGTCAGGTCTGGTGGCTGTATAATACAGCAGACTTCCACTAAGCTTCTGGATTTCCCTTCATCAACTCTCTGCCCATCTGTTTGCTTAATTCAGGTGGGAACCAGAGGAGGTTTACTGGTTTGGAATTCTCCATTCCAAACCTTGAAAGAGCTCGGTTGATATCCTTTGTTGACACACAAAAAATCTCACCGGCAGCCTGAGTTATCTCCATGCCAAGGAAGTACTTCATCAATCCCAAATTGCATTTCAAATTCAGTGGCATATTTATACCTGGAGCAACATAGCCAATGGAGCCCTTTACCCTTTATAATGTTTGAGCTAGACTTGACATCTAGAGAACCACCAGAAATGGTAGGAAGAACTTTTACTAACCCAAAGTCACCCACATGAGCAACCATGTTTTCATCAACAAGTACATTGCCTGGTTTTAGATCACTATGAATTATTGGTATTTGGCAGTGACAGTGAAGATACTCAGCCGCAGAAGCAACATCAATGGCAATGCTTAATCTCTGAACGAAGCTGAGATTTCCACCTCATGCTCAGAGTCTGCAGCTTCTTTTAGATGTGACCAATTTTCTAGACTTCCTTTCGACGTAAACTTGTGGATTAAAGCTCTGAAATCATTACCATGATAATCCACACTCGAGCAGACACTTTATATTTACTGGAGATTCCTGTGGCGGATGTTTCTGAGGGCTCTGCATTCCGAGGTGGAGCTCTTTAAAGCTCCCCTTCGCTGATTGATTCCCTTGGGCGAAGAATTCCTTTATAAACAGACCCATAGCTACCGACACCGATTAAATTTGCTTCAGAGAAAGCATCAGTCGCTCTAAGAAGCTCACCATAAGAAACTTTCTTCAACTGAGGATCAAATGAAGCAGAAGAAGGCTTCTTAGTCGACTTTTTTCTCTTGTACAGTTGTACCTGCTAACAAAGTTAGGCAAACAGCTACTGCAATTATTGCAATGACAGGTCTAAGAGTGCAAGAATTTCCTCGATTGTTGTCATTAACAGGGCAGGCTTGCAGTTTCAGTTCAGAGATTCCGCCACAGAGCTTTCCGTTTCCAGCAAGAGAAATAGCACTAGCATTCCTGAATATGCCAGTTTCAGGAACTGCACCTTCAAGTTCATTGAAAGAGATGAGAAATTCCAGGATCCTCAGGAATGCTTCCTTCCAACCCTAGCTCATTCAGTGAGAGCTGGACCAGAGATGAGAAATTCCCTAGCAAAGGTAGGGATTTTATATTTTTCCTTTGAAATTGTTTTTAGTAAGGACTAAAACTGCAAGCTTTGGTGGAGAGGTCAACTGAACTAGCAATTTCCCTGCCAGATTGTTCTCAACAAGAATGAGTCGCTTAAGGTTTGTACAACCAGTGAGGTTTGTTGGAACTTCTCCATGGAAGCAATTGATATCCAGGTGAAGTACTTGCAGTCGATGAAGCTGGCCAAGTCTTGACGGGATTTCTCCATGAAAACTGTTCTTTTGGATGTTGATGATCCTGAGAAAGCTGAGGTTCCCAATGTGGGGTGACAGGGGACCCACTAAGCCATGTGAGCTTATATCTAGGATTATCACCCTTTCACGGTGCCTACGGTTGCCCGATATTCCTTGCCAATAACAATAATGAGCAGAATTGTTCCATTAGTTGAAGACTCCATGGCGATCCAGAGTTACCGCTCCTTGAAGGCCAGCAGCGCTTGTCTATCTGTTTAATTCTGAAAGTTTGCGGCGTATCCCAGAGAGTAGGAGTTCATGTACCACAGGATCATGTTGTGGAACATGAAGGAGCAAAGACTGGTCATTCTTGAACTCGCTTTCCTCTCAATAAATTTCCTTATTGAGAATTTTGTTATAGTATACAGAAGTTTTTATTTTAGTATATGTATATATGAACATCGGTCATTGATTTGCTCTTTATTTTCTCAATGGCCTTACCATTTGGTGCTAGACCCTTAATCTCTACTATATTCTAGAATCCTATTACCAAATTTCAAAAATCTACAAGGTCATTTCATATCATTTCTGCTGAGAACCACGAAACGCAAACATATGGAATTTGGTACTATTTCTAACTGCAAATTGGTTGCAGCCGGCTCAAATAACTTATTTGAATGCCATGAAAAATTGAATTCATAACTTGTTCTTTGGGTTGTTCTGTTGCGGAATTCTTACCATCTTCGCCAGTCAGCTTGCTTTCATTTTCATTTTAAAAACCTTCTACAGGAAATACTATTGAATTCTGAAATTTTGGTTTTCTATGGAAAAGGTCGGCTTCTTAATCTAGATTTTTCAACCAAGCAAGCTGGATTTTGCGATACATGATGATGCTAAATTATTCATTTCATAAATTAGATACAAACATTGGTAGTAAATTAGAAAGTGTAATATAATCGTATTAATATTTTGACTCCACCTAGATTCTCAAAATGAGTCATGGTTTCAGTAAACGTCTATTTGTGTTGAGGCTGATCCTCCCATGCCATATTCTATACATACATTTCAGGATTCAGCCGATGCAATAATGCTTATTATAATCTTTGAAGTAAAAAATACGAACAGAAAATGAATTCATTATTTCTATATACGAGTTTTAGATAAGAGACAGAGATGCAATAATATATATTCAGCACATCTGATTGACAGAAGTGTAACCGTTAAAAATTGCTCAAATCATATAACAGGTATCTTCCAATTATATAAATATTGTAATTCATCACATTGCGTACAAAACATAATAGAAAAACAGCTAGTAATGAGAAGGAAGCTGGCGTAATTAAAAGAAAGAAAGAAGAACAAAAGAAAAAAGTAGTGGCTATGTTGGGTTCTTCAACTGCTAGATAGAGCCTAATTTATGTTTCCGCCTTGTATCGCTGCCTGAAGCATCCTTGTCTTTGTTGCTTGCAGTTCTGAGATAACATCTTCAATGTTCATTCGCTCACCAGGCAATTCTGCAGAACATGCAACTCCGATTCTACAAAAAGAAACCAAACACTCCAGCATTTTACCTTCTACAAGGCGCCCATTTCTTACATTGGAGATGTTTTCATCCAATAGTCCCAGCAAATCCGAATCCACGATGTCCCTCACTCGCTCTGGCAATGCCATCTTACAGAATTCATGCAGGCTCAAACCTTCATTGAACATTTCATCAGTTGGTCTCTTTCCTGTAATCATTTCTAGCAGAAGAATCCCATAGCTGTAGACATCCCCTTCTGGGGACACAATAGCGCCCATTCCATATTCTGCAATAAGTTCAATAACTATTTTTTAATACACAAACAATTTAAAAGCACAGTAGATTACCTTAAAAGTGCTAGACTAAATATTAAAGGGATAAAATAGTGGAACTGTACCTGGGGGAACATAGCCTATGGTTCCTTTAACTCCAGAGGAAGTAGTTTGATCTCTACTGAAGTTGACAGAAGCCCCAGAAAGGAGCTTAGCCAACCCAAAGTCACCAACATGAGCAACCATGTCATCATCAAGAAGAATATTGGTCGACTTTAGATCACAATGAACGATAGCAGTCTCACAATGGTGATGAAGATAATCCAATGCATAGGCCACATCGATTGCAATATCTAACCTTTGCATGAGGTTCAAATTTCTCAGTCCCGATTGTTCAGTTGTATGCAACCATCTTTCAAGACTACCATTAGGCATGAACTCGAAAACTAGAGCCTTAAAATCATTGCCTTTGTGGTCCAAGCTGGAGCAGGAGGTTATGATCTTGAGAAGATTTCTATGTCTAACTTTGCTCAAAACCTTGCATTCAGCCATGAAACTCTTTGAAGCACCACGATTTTGCAGGTTCAGCACCTTTATTGCAACAGGTTTTTCTAGTTGCTGAATGGATCCTTTATATACTGTGCCAGAACTTCCAGCACCAATCAAGTTATGGGATGCAAAATTATCGGTCGCTTGAAGAAGCTCTTTGTAGGAAATCTGCAAAAAGCTACCACCCAATATGGATGTAGGGCCAAGTTGTTTTCCATATGTTCGCCTCCAGCAAAGAATAAGAAGTACAACCACTATAGTAGTAGAAAGTAGAACGCAGAGGACTATAGCAATAGTGGCCTTTGTTGACAGAGAGTGAAGCTTCTTTCTCGGCTCCTGATTTGGGCATAAAGGGAGCCGTATTTCAGGAACTCCTCCACAAAGCTTATTGTTTCCTAAGATTGAAAAGGCATTTACATCCTTAAAAACGCCTCCTGTCGGTACCTCGCCCTCGAGATGGTTAAAAGACAGATTCAAACTTTTCAGGAAAGAAAGATTTTGTAGTTGTTGGGGAATTGTGCCAGATAAACTATTACGGGAAAGATTCAACATTTCAAGAGATTTCAGAGAACCCAATGACAAAGGAATACTACCTTGAAACAAGTTTCCCGCCAAGTCGAGAATTGATAACTCAGAACATTCACCAAGGCTCGCTGGAATTTCACCAGAAAACTTGTTTTCACTGACAATCAGTACTATAAGATTCTTCAAATTGCCGAAATCTGATGGGAGGGGACCATTGAAGGAGTTGTAAGATATGTTGTAAGATATGTTAACAACTATCAAGCTTTCACAAAAGCCAAATACCTGATCCGGTATATTGCCACTAAGGTTATTTTCGCCAAGGTACAGGTTCTGCAGATTGGTGCAGTTCCTTAGGGTTAATGGAACGCTTCCTTCAAAATTGTTAGTGTGTAGATAAAGATCAAATAATCTAGAGAGATTGCCAATGAATGACGGGATATTACCAGATAAGTTGTTTTAATGAAGAAACAATCTTCCAAGATTTTTTAGCTTTGCAATGGAAGCCGGAATTCCACCCACAAGGAAGTTCACATCCAACTCAAGAATAGTTAAACTGGACAGACTCCCCATTCCTTCAGGAATACTTCCAGAGATCTGATTTCGTCCCATGTATAGCTCTCTGATCTGGGTTGATAAATTGGCTACAGACTGCGGCAACTTCCCACCAAATGTATTAACGTTCATAGCTAGACTTTCCAAGTGGCTGCAGTTGGTTAAAGAGGAAAGAAAACTTAAGTCACCAGTTTTCCCACTTCCCAAACTGTTGTAGCCAACGTTCAACAGCTGAAGATTCTTCAGTTTCCCCAAAGTGTTAGGTACCGACCCTTCAAAAAAATTGTACCCACCTCAAGTAGTTGCATATTAGAAATATTGGATACTGAAGTCGGAATGGTTCCAGTAAAATAATTAACTCCCACATAAAGCATCTCAAGATTTGGAAAAGCAAGATCTATGTTGGGAATAAGACTCCCTGAGAATTGGTTTGAACCCACATCTAAATACACCAAGGATGAAAGATTGTAAAGTGGAGCAATCGTGCTAGACAGACTATTAAGATCAAGATATAGTATTCTCAAGCTTGACATCCCACTCATAACAGCAGGTATACTTCCATGAAAATTATTGAAAGCAAGTGATCAAAGAAAAGATAGGGATGAAATATTAGCCAGAAAAGGTGGAACAACCCCGGTTAGATCGTTGGCACCGAGAAATAGGAGACTTAGCTTCAACATATATCCAAACTGGAAAGGAATTTCACCTGTGAGGTTATTGCGAGTTAGAATTAGGACTTGAAGATTTGAGCAGTTGGCAAGCTCTACAGGAATTTCACCTTGCAGTTTATTAGACGTCAGGTTAAGAAACTGCAGACGCCTTAAACGGCCGAATTCACTGGGGATATTGCCTCTCAACTTGTTCTTAGAGAGTTCAATCTTGCTGAGGAAAGTTAAATTACTTATAGAAGGAGATATATACCCAGCTAATTTCAGATTGTTCAGTGCTAGAGCAGTGACCCTCTGGTGCCGCTTACCACAACTAACACCTTGCCACTCACAGAAGTGGAGAGAATCATTCCAAGAACTCAAAGCTCCTGAAATGCCATCGGTTAGCTGATCCTTCAAAGCAAACAATGCTAGTCTGTCGGTTTCAGCCCCCAAGGTTAAAGCCATAGTTGAAGGCAGTAACACACAGTTGAGCAAGATAACAAAAAGCAGAAAGGTGATTTGAAGGATCGAGAGGTTTTTCAAATTTAGAGAGGATTTATCCATTATTTCACAATTATAATAGACTGGAAAATATCTTAGGGAAAAGAGCTTCGAGCTTTCTAGTTATATTTGATGTCTTGGTAGTGATTTCNGTCTCAATTAGGGATAGTTATAAATAAGAATAAACTTTACATTGTAATAAGTTATAATTTTTCCAATTCTCGCCTTAAGAAAAGTTGTCTCTATATAATAATAATTATCTGTATATTATAAACAAATATATGTTATGGTACATTAAATGTTTAAGATGAAATAAAATAGTTATCTTAAATTGTTTGGGATAATGATTTATGTTTTAGAGTTGTTATCACATTCTTTATCTTACGAGTACATAATACCTCGCTAGATTAGACATTTTCTTATTGAAGCAAAAATATTTTTAGCTTCTCAAGCATGTTTAGGGCTTCATAGCAAGAAAATTTTTGTATTTCCACATTATCATCCTTAAGATTATTTCCTTTCTCGTCTTTCTAATTGCAGTAATAACTTCTTCTTTGGTTAAAGTATATACGATTTGTTGTTCATTTGGATGATCGAGGAAGACATTAATATCCATTTTATTAGCATAGTAAAGATGTCAAATCTGATCCCTCAATTTTGCAATGACTCTTTTATTTACCTCATCCACTTCATTTGTAACTTGCAATTCATCGACACTGTGGGTTCTAATTTTGTGGTGCTTAAAACCATTGGTAATTATCTTTGGCTTCACATCAATTGACCACGCATCAACTGCATTTACAGTTCCATCAATGACACTTATTTTTGTTGGTTTCAAGACACGGTCTTCTATACATTTCAAAAGTAGACAATTGAAGCATTGAATTGAAATCCTAATACTACTAAAATATAAATTGAAATCCTAATACTATACTACTAAAACATGAATTATAAAATCAAAAATCAAAACAATAATTTTTGTAACTACACCTCTATTAAGTTATAATCTTTTTATAATAATAAAATTAGTTAATCCCATCGGTATGACTATAGAGAGGTTTTGTTGTACTTGCATGTTTTTCATTAAACTCTTTCTCTTGTATAAAAAAGAATTTACACCATCTTTAGTAATTTTTTTGAGGGATAATATCATAATTAAATAAAAAAACGAGGTTTACTAAGACAAATTATGAGGAGTCAATAACATCACTTTAAATTAATTCACAATTTTGATTTACATGGAAATGAAACAGAAAAGAGTGTACTTGGGAAAGAATAATGATCCACATGTTTATTGATGAGTAAGGTTTCTTTATATACAACAAGATAACCATAGTTAACTACTAACTTGAGTTAACTAAATTGACTAAGTTAAATAACTGACCAACAACTTTACTAACAGACTAAACTGAATGTATTAACAAAACTAAAACAAACTAAACAGTTAATACATATTTAATACTTCCAATACCCCCCTCAAGTTGGAGGGTGGTAAAGATCTAGCACTCCCAACTTGTGTAGCAAATGATGATAAGGATGCTTCCCAGGAGCCTTGGTAAGGATGTCAGCTGGCTGCTCAAACATTGGGATATAGTCAGTACGAATGAGGCCAGTTTTAAGCTGCTCTTTGACTATGTGGCAGTCAATATCAATATGTTTGGTCCTCTCATGAAACATAGGATTGGAAGCAATGTAGGTGGCTGCTTGATTATCACAGTGAAGGGGAACAGGAAACAAGCCAGAAAACCCAAGTTATTTAAGAAGCTGGACTACCCAAATGATCTCACAAACTGTAAAGGCCATAGCCCTATACTCAGCTTCAGAGGAAGACTTAGAAATGGTCGCCTGTCGTTTTGATTTCTAAGAAATCAAGGAAGAGCCGAGGAAAATGCAGTAACCAGAAACTGATTTCCTAGTCATGAGGCAAGAGCCCCAAACAGAGTCACTATAGGCAGACAAAATCAGGGAGTTAGTTGCAGGGAAAAACAAACCCAATCCTAGAGTTGATTTTACATACTTCACTACTTTGAGAGCTGCTGTCATATGGGATTGCTTGGGCTGATGCATTAATTGGCTCAGCAAGTTGAGTGAGAAATTAATATTAAGTCTGGTGATGCACAAATACAACAATTTCCAACTAACCTTTGATAAACTGAAGGATCTGGAAGGAGAGGATCAAGACCAATAGAAAACTGACTATCATAGGCTGTAGAAGTGAGTTTCAAATTGGATTCCATAGGCATAGTAAAAGGCTTAGAAGTTGCCAAACCAAAATCTGAAATAAGCTCCAAGGCATACTTTCGTTGACATAAACTAATGCCCTTGGAGAATCTTGCAACTTCTAATCCCAAGAAATATCTTAGTAGCCCCAAATCTTTGAGTTTGAAATTAGAATGTAGCAAGTCCTTTGTCTGTTGTATCAGGTCCAAACTAGTACCAGTGATGACAATTTCATCTACATAAACTAACAAGAGAACAATGTGAGAATTTTGGTGCTTAACAAACAAAGAATAGTCTGATTTCGATTGCTGAAATCCACCATCTAAGAGAGCTGAAGTGAGTTTGTAGTTCCAGGCCCTAGATGCCTGTTTCAAGCCATAAAAACACTTGTGCAACCTGCAAACAAGATCCTTCCCTTCTTGCTTTGAAAACCCTTGAGGAAGACTCATATAAATTTCTTCCTGCAAATCTCCTTGCAAGAAAGCATTATTAACATCTAGTTGATAAAGAGGCCAATTGTGCATAGAAGCCAAGGCCAAGATTGTCCAGACAATAACCATCTTTACAATAAGGAAAAAAGTTTATGTATAATCAATACCCGCTTGTTGTGTGTAGCCTTTAGCTACCAAACGTGCCTTATATCTGTCAAGAGTACCGTCTGTCTTATATTTCAGTTTGTAAACCCATTTACATCCAATGGGAACTTTTCCAGGAGGTAAGGGTACCAATGACCAGGTGTGATTAAGCTCCAAAGCTTGGATTTCTTTTTTCATAGCATCAATCCAATGTTGGTCTTTAGATGCTTGAGCAAAGGAGCTAGGTTCAACTAGGGAAAGATTGGAGAGAAAGGCTTTATATGAGGGTGAGATAGTGGAATAAGAAATAGAATTGGAAATGGGGTACTGAATATGGTTGGTTGAAGAAGAATGGGAGACAGTGGGACAAATAAAGTCTTGAGTCCAAATAGGGGGACAAGTATGTCTATTGGATCTCCTCAAAACAGGAAGAGAAACAGTAAAGGGAATAGGGGAACAGTCTAAAACGTGGTGATGAAGAGAGGATAAAGGAGATGAAACAGTAGAGTTTGGAACCTGGAGAGATGGTAAAACATTATCTGAAGAGGGTAAAGATGAAGAAAGATCTGATTCTGAAACAAGAAAGTCAGAATCAGGGGAAAAAACAAGTTGGGAAGGCTTGGACAAAGCAAAAGGGAAAATNAAGCAACCCATTTATTTTCTAGAAAACAAAAACAAGACTCATGATTTGGTGTACCATAATGGTTTAGGCCTAATGTATTAGAAAAGATACCCCTAAGGAGGCATTTGGTTAAGGGTTATATAGGATTAGTAAGGTTATGTCATTTTATGTTATTTGATTACCACGTTTAGTTGTCAAGTAATATTAGATTCTGATAATTTTCCAATACCAACAGTAGTTGTTGTTAGTAATATTGGAGGTAATCTGATAACCTCCATATAGGAGTAGATCTGGCCGAAAATGGCCAGAACTATTATGGTCATTTCCGACTATATCTACTCTGATATGGTCGTTTTTGGGCCATCAATATGGTCATATCGAAGCCTCTTGGTGATGGTAGGCTACTCACAGTGATTTCCAACTTCTTTCGACGACTTCCGACAGCAAATGGCGGTGGTCGACAGTGGCTTAAGGTGATGGGGGTGATTTTGTTATAAATTAAAGTTTTATATAAGCTGAGGTATTTTAGTTAAATCTGAAATGTTGGAAGTTAAAAGAAATTATTCAAAAATTAATAATAAAAATAATATTATATTAATATTTAAAAAATGGGCAATTTAGTAATTTAAATAACATACCCACCAATTTATTCCTCTCAACCAAACATATTAATATAACATACTCACTAATTTATTCCAACTAACCAAACACATTTTCCTAAAGATTCCCAGTAATCTTCAAGGTAATATAACTTTCCATTAATATAACATTTCAGATGCGTTTGGTTCAGGGAATGTTATATTACTGAGGAATATTGTACTACTGAAAATATAGATTACTAGGGAATCTTTAAAGAAATGTGTTCAGTCGATTGGAATAAATTAATGAGTATGTTATAATAATATATTTGGTTGGTAGGATAAATGAGTGGGTATGTTATGTAGATTACTAAATTGCCCTAAATGAGTGGGTATGTTATATAGATTACTAAATTGCCCTCCTTTTTAATTAATAATATATTATTATTTTATTCTATTATTTTTTAAATTATTTTTTTTAACCTCCCTATATTTGAGATTTTGCTAAAACATCCCAACCATATACAATTTTAATTTGTAGCAAAATCACCCCCAGCCATCATCGATAGCCAGCTACCACCGCCAGCAGCCGCCGTAATGGCACACAACCGACAGGATCTGGTTGGTCGCGCGTCAGTAAGGCCTAATCCGACCAGATCTGGCCGTTTCATGGCTAGATCTAGTCATGAATATGTCCATTTCACGGCCAAAGATATGGTCATGAAACGGCCACAGATCTGACCTTTTCATGGCCAGATCAATGGCATTTCACGGCCACATCTTTGGCCATGAAATGGCCAAATCTAGCCATTTCCGACCATGGATCACAAATCCATAGCTAGAAACGTCTTTACCGACACACGACCGACAAGATCCTGCTACTCTTGTGCCGATATGACGACTTTCGCCGGCGGCCAATGGTGGTAGCTAGTGGCTGACCGTGGTCTTGGATGGTTTGGGGTATTTTGT